GATAGAACATATCTTGCCAAGTATAGAAGATACATACTTTGGGGAATTCGTGTTACTTAGTTAATGATGCATTGTGTAAATATATGCTTTCTTCTATGAATTTTACACATTTTTTATTTTTTTTTACTTCTTATTTTAGGTTTTCTTCCCATACTAAGAAAAAATGATGAAACATGGACATTCAGTTGACCTTTACTCTTTCACTTATTATTTATATATATATATCCTAATAATTCTTTGTAAGCTTAGTTTCGTATTTATCCTTTTTTTTTCTTTTCAGTTGAGTGTCTTTCCACATTATTTGTTTTCCCTTTCATAGTCACCCACTGTTTTTAAATGCTGCTGTCTACCTGTGAATCTACCTATAGATGCTTGTCTTAATACAGTTTAATATCCTGTCTGTTTTGATATGTTGCATAAAGCAAACATGACGTTGACGTCTTCTCACTGACATCCATCTCTCTTCCCGACTGGTCATACCAACATAGAGTTTCCACATATCTTCAGCTCCCCCTTTCAATGTGCAGTTCTTTCACCTTATCTACACTTCATTTCACTGTAATATGGCCTGATTTATCAGCTACAGATATAGCATATTTATCCATTATGGTAGGATTAGTTGTCGCGTTAAAGGGGTGTAGCTGATTAACCGTTACGGGCCCGGTTGGATTCAGAGTACTGAATCAGTCGGACATTCACCAAAACTGGGGGTCCGTTCGGACATTCACCAAAAACGTAATAACCGCCTGGGGGTCCACTCAGACATTCACCAAAAACGTATTAACCGTCTGGGGGTCTGGTTAGATTCAGAACACTGAACTATCACGGATAACCACCCTCACCCTAGTTGCATTAATGAGAGCTATCACAATGCAATCAAGTATGGTTTATTACAGCAACAGGTAATCAGGTTCTTTTGGATTGCCGGTGATAGTGACTATCAGCAAAAGCAAGCTAGTATGCACGAAATACACAGGTGTTATAGGTGTTACAGATGTTACAGGTGTTATAGGTGTTGTAGGTGTTACAGATGTTATAGATGTTACAGGTGTGTTAGATGTTACAGGTGCGCAGCCTAGAAATAAACGCGTTAAAAGATTATAAGCAAGTATTCAGATCTCACCCAAAGGCGTCCCAATGGGGGGGAAGAGAGGCTCAGCCCGTCGACTGATCCCAGGAGTCAGGAGGTCCTAAGGATGTTGTACGTCCTCGGGATGGTATCTCCCCTGACGGTGGTATCTTCCCTAACATGCCCTCTCTCTTGGGCCAATTTATATTATTTTCTGTCTTCTAGGTGGAGCTTGAGTGGCTCTAGTCAAGCATATCTTAGTTATGATTGGTGTAAAGTTTTCCCGTCTCCGTTTAAAGGAATAGGCCCGAGAAATTCAGGGCGTATGCTCAGTGAGGTGTGTTCGCACCTTGGAGGCGGGTAGCTTTTGGGATGGAGGTGTGTTTTGGTATTATAATGATATTATAATGAGCAAAAAGTACACTAGGGTACGGCATTTGTCAAAACATGACAGGTCTTTGGCTTAGGGTGGCAAAAAGTGCAGCTTTGTGCACAAGAACAATCGAGGCCCCACCTGATTACAGAGCCTAACCGTGGTGTCTCCACTCCACTCTACGCTCGGTGGTGTTCCTTAGAGCTAGCACACCAAGTTTCCCCAGCGCGATAGCATCTAAGGTTGGGAGCCTAGGGAACGCTCAGATAATGCAGTTATGCCCTACCCTGAAAGCCTCTTCAATGCTGTACCTTTTCCTTAAAAGTGTGAATGTTAGTTTTATTTTCCTAGTTACTTCAGGCATTTACACCACATTAGTTATGCTTGTATTTTAGGCTAGACATGATAGATATTTTCCACTGTCTAGTTTTTCCTAGCCATAGTGACAAGCATTTAATATAATGGGGAAAAAATGATAGTCTTGCAGTTAAGACCCTCATTGAGACTCAAGAGCTGAAATCATATTCCATTAGGCATCTATACAGTAAGCAACAAAATGACATCTGTCGGTGCTGTAAGACAACAACAGAAACAAGCAATGCATAATCAAAGCAATTATCCAGCAGAAACAGAGGTCAGCATTATTACAAGTGTTGAAGGCTATTCACACAGAAGTAATAATTTGGGGAACTACTGAGAGCCAAATCTCATTTCTTAGGTACCTATTATTTTCTGTTAACTGAAGAGGGTTCCACGTTCCTAAAATTACACAGTGTTTGCAACCCTTCTTGTTGCAAAATATCCTAAATTAATTCATAGCTGGAACAAGTTCATGTGTGAGCTTCCACTGCTGCAAAAACATCCATCACCCTCTCTGTAACAATTATTACATTACCAGCTGGCCAAAGGTTCTCTGAAAAGTGAGAGCAAATGAAAGCTAAGCAGCACAGGCTAAATACTGTAAATGTCAGAATAATAGAAAACATCAGAAAGGCATTGCCTGATCATGTGAATGCACATCCATTCTGTAGTTGAAATGCCAGTCCCCAGCAGCAAAGAGTGCAGCAATTTTATAGCAGTGCAGCAGCAGGTGGTGCTCCAGCAGCCCCTTTCCCAGAGCACACATTGAGGAGCACTCTTTTCCAGTAGTAGCCCTCAGTGGTTACTTCTCTACATCCCTGTACTGTCCCAACAGGTGTTATTCTTTAAATGAAAAGAGGATAGATTTAGGTTAGATGTTAGGAATAAATTCTTTACTCAGGCGGTGGTGAGGCACTGGCACAGGTTGCCCACAGAAGCTGTGGATGCTCCATCCGTGTAGGTGGTCAAGGCCAGGCTGGAGGGGGCTTTGGGCAACCTGGTCTGGTGGGAGGTGTCCCTGCCCATGGCAGGGGGATGGAACCAGGTGATGTTTAAGCTTTCTTTTAACCCCAACCATTACATGGTTCTGTGATTCTTGACAGCGTATCATGTTCAAGATATTGAGCAAGCCATGATAAATTTGTATTTCTATTTAGTATTTTGTAAAATGTATATTCCTAAAATTCTAGTTGCATTTACAGTGAAAATTAAAATACATTGAATTGATAGTCTCATACAGAATTATTTCTTCCACCCAAATGGAGAACCATTCTCCTGCAAAAGCATAGCTATGTGCAAGCAAATTTCTCACTTTCAGGGAGCATGTATGATTGTGTTAGCATCATTTGCACCTTGCATAGCATCCTCCTGCAGGTCAGAAAGTTCATTGTGAGTAGCAATAGATTGCATTTTGGGTATCCGAGATGCTCCCAAAACTTTGTGGTTGCTTTATGGTAACTGCATATGTCTATATATCTGAGCTTTTACTGCACAGATATTGAGTTAAAAAAAATAAAACATGTAATGAAATCATTTGCATGAGTGGTAGAAATTCCCAGGAAATATTAAAAAAAAAAAAATCCTACTGAACTTCATAAATAGCTTAGAGTAGATGATTACAATCTGATGTACAGAAGAGAGATGTTTCCAATTCGAGAAAAAAATCCCATTTAAGGAATTTAATGTAATTTAGGAAACTATGATATGCTTTGATCATCCCTTATTGAACTTGTTACAGAGAGAAAACATGTTATCTTTCAGCAGCTTGCTGAAAGTGGGCCCATTTCTACTTTCATGGCAGTGGGGCAGGGGGTGGTTCTGCTCTGGGAAGGAAGAGGAGGGAGGGAAGTTGGAATAGGGATGAGGAAAGGCAAAAATAAAGGACTTTGTTCCTGCTGGACATGCAGCCAGGCAGAGTTTGCAAATGCACTCTTGTTTCTATACACTATGAGCTATTGTGCTATGAACAAGCATACTACAATACCAAGTGATTCAGGTTCTGGACACTGGTGGACATTTTGCTGCTGGAAAGTTGTAAAATTAGTCACTTGTTCAGCTGCAAGAACAACAGCATTAAAATGTTTCATCTTATAAAAACTAGTAGCAAACTAAAATACTAAAAACTGTGCCTGTCCTTCAATTCAAGCTGAACTTCCAGAGCTTGAACTTGAAGACGGTGACAGGATTTGCCCTTTTTCTATACAGTTTCCAGAAGGACAAGATATAATTCTTTCCTCAGATGGCACAAATATGGAACTAAACTGTCATATTGGCTTCAGATCATCTAGGTCAATTTCATCTTTAGGGAGCATATTCTTCACTGATGAAGAAGAACAAAACAGGCAAGGAAGAAGAGGAGGTGAAGTGGGAATTTACAGAAAGAGCGTAAGCTATGGCTTTGCTCCTCTGTGACTTCAAGGCTGTTTTTGTTAGTGGCAAGGAAACTCTTGCATGCCTAGTGTGAGGAATGTGTTAACAATTCGTGTCCATAAAGAACAATTCTGTTTGAATCCTGTCTGCCTCTGGGCCCTGCACTGGCATTTTAATTCTTGAACCACAGATGCAGTGTGTCCCAGTCTCCCCCTCATTCTAGTCAATTTATCACGTCTTCAGAAAACACTCCTTAAATTTATGAACCTGTTTGCTTTTGTTATTCCGGACTTCTGTTTCTAACAGTTACAGCCTTTTTTCCTGTCTTCTTCGAGATTAACTTAACACTGCTATAGATGTGTCTGTGAATGGCTGGGGAAGAATGTTTTAATTACTCGTGAAGCGTCAAATAAGAAAGCTGTTTGTGTTTGATGTCTGGGAGTTTCAGAACAACTGATAACAACTAGTGACTGTTATGGGATACTATGAGGATCCTTGGTATCTGGCCAGGGGGCCAAGAGATTAAGAGGAAGAAAAAAGAAGCTGAAGGACGGTTGGGAGACAAGACCTGCAGAAAGTGTTCCATAAACTTGGAATGGTGCCAAGTGAGTACAAAGGGGGAGAGGAAGACTACGAGCCTTCAGCATGAAAGACCCCTAGAGACCCCCAGAGGAGACTGATGCGCATGCTCCAGTAGGAGGGACTGGACCCCAGAAGCTAATTATAATAATCTATTTTTTTAGAAGTAGTAATGAATATGTATTAGTCTAGGAGCATAAAAATCAGCTGCTTGATGTAACTGGTGTGCGTCCTGGTGGAGCGCAGACTCCCGGTGCACCCAGCACTGTTTGCTTACCTCTATTCCTTTATATTCTTTTAATAAATCCTATTTTTTTATTTAATCCTAATTTGAATCCTGAGCCATTTATAACACTAGGCAGAACAAAAAATGGCCAGGGATACAGATATTCTTAAAGAACAAGATAGGTGTATGGACTAGAATGTACTAACAACCCTGTATTTTGGGGCAGGAAGAATCAGGAACTAGCCCACTCCTTTTGCTACAATATTGGAATCTGCTGAGGTAAAGGTACATCCAGGTGCATTCTCAATACTTATAGCTCTTGTATAGTTTGCAGCTGAACACATCAAATTAGAGCTAATGAAGAAATTACTGTCCTCAGTAGGACTGGACTGTGAAAGCCTGATGTATATTTTACTTTAACTGGAGTAGAAGATTCAAAACGCTATGACTAGTGTCTTCCCAAACCCTGTGTTACCCACAGAGAGAAGCATATGCAGAAGGTGCTATTGAAATTAGTCTTAAAAAAAAAAAAAAGCATTACTTTCAACAAGCAACAAAAAATAACCAAGTAAAGCTAGATGGTCTCTTGGCTCCACCCTTGTGAAGTGAAACCTGCCAGGTGTGGATCATTTGACTTTTGCTATATAGGAAGCCTGAGGACTTGTGGGGAATTGCCTTCCTGGTGGGGAGTTGGAGGCTCAGGTTCTCTAGGGTGCTTTTCTGCTGTTGTGGTGAAGCGGATTCAGTGTTCCCTGGTGGGCTGCTTTTTCTTCACGTTTTCTCCCATCTCTGTGAAATAGTTTCAGTGACTCTATGAGTTAGCTATGTTGTTGTTGCCCTCTCAGTGTGGTGAGACCCTGGTGGTGCAAAGTCACTGTGAAGCAGTGTGGAAGTGACTCAAGTTCAGGAGCTGGCAGGTAAGTGTTCCTGGGTTCTACAGTTCTTTAATGTCGAGGAGTTTGAGTACATCCTTCACCTTGTCTGTTTTCAGTGAAATTACTTCCGTGGCTTCTAAGCTCCCTTTCAAGCTCTTCCAAATACAATGATAATGAAAGCGAAGAAGAAAGCCCCACCAACTCAGAAGCTCAAGTGCTTACAGGTAAGCCTGACTTTGGAGAATGTTCTTAACTATTTGTTAGGATTCGACAACAGGCACTGTGGAAAAAGGTGCCTTAATGTGCACTCAAATTATGCCTTGCGGTGAGTAGAAACCGATGGGGAAGGTACTGGTGCAGTTAGCTCATAACTTTCACTAAGTGGAAGTTGCGAGACTGTGCTGTTCCTAAAGAAATGCCGCTTTCACAACATGTAAGTCAAAAGAAGTATGAAGAAAGCCTCTCCTCTCCCCTACAGGCCTGCGTCTCGGCTGTGGAGAAAGATTTGGAAGATCGCGCTGAGGGTCACATCGCTGAGGTTCCTGCGCCGAGGTGTCGTGGTTTAACCCGGCCGGCAGCTAAACACCACGCAGCCGTTCGCTCAGCCTCCCCCCTCCCTCTCTGGGACGGGGGAGAGAAATGGAAAGTGAAGCCCGTGAGTTGAGATAAAGACAGTTTAATAAGACAGGAAAATAATAATAAAAAAATAATAATAACAATAATAATAATAATACAATGGTGATAATAGGAAAGTAATAATCATATGTACAAACAAGTGATGCACAATGCAATTGCTCACCACTCGCTGACCGATGCCCAGCCTAACCCCGAGCAGTCCGGCCCCCTCCCCCCGGCTAGCCACCCCTATATATTGTTTAGCATGACGTCAGATGGTATGGAATACCCCTTTGGCTAGTTTGGGTCACCTGTCCTGGGTCTGTCCCCTCCCAGCTCTTACTGCACCCCCAGCCTGCCCGTTGGCAGGACAGAGCAAAAGGCTGAGATGTCCTTGGCTTAGTATAAGCACTGCTCTGCAACAATTAAAGCATCGGGGTGTTATCAGCACTCTTCTCATCCTAAGCCAAAACACAGCATTCCACCAGCTACTAGGAAGAAAATTAATTCTGTGCTAACTGAAACCAGGACACGATGTCACATTGCGGAGGTTCCCGCGCTGAGGTTCCGGAGCTGAGGTCACATCGCTGAGGTTCCCGTGCTGAGGTTTCCACGTTGAGGTTCCCGCAGGGCAGTAACATCACTGAGGTCACATCGCTGTGTTTCCCGAGCTGAGGTTCCCACGCTGAGGTAACATCGCTGAGGTTCCCGCTGTGAGGTCACACTCTTGAGGTTCCTACGCTGAGGTTCCCGCGCTGAGGTCGCAGCGCTGAGGTTCCCGCGCTGAGGTCGCAGCGCTGAGGTTCCCGCGCCGAGGTCGCAGCGCCGAGGTCGCAGCGCCGAGGCTCCAACGCAGAAGTTCCCTCGCTGAGGTCTCAGCGCTGAGGTTCCCTCGCTGAGGTCTCAGCGCTGAGGTTCCCTCGCTGAGGTCTCAGCGCTGAGGTTCCCGCGCTGAGGTCTCAGCGCTGAGGTTCCCGCGCTGAGGTCTCAGCGCTGAGGTTCCCGCGCTGAGGTCTCAGCGCTGAGGTTCCCGCGCTGAGGTCTCAGCGCTGAGGTTCCCGCGCTGAGGTTCCCGCGCTGAGGTCTCAGCGCTGAGGTTCCCGCGCTGAGGTTCCCTCGCTGAGGTCGCAGCGCTGAGGTTCCCGCGCTGGGGTCGCAGCGCCGAGGTCGCAGCGCCGAGGTTCCCGCGCCGAGGTCGCAGCGCCGAGGTTCCCGCGCCGAGGTCGCAGCGCCGAGGTTCCCGCGCCGAGGTCGCAGCGCCGAGGTTCCCGCGCCGAGGTCGCAGCGCCGAGGTTCCCGCGCCGAGGTCGCAGCGCCGAGGTCGCAGCGCCGAGGTTCCCGCGCCGAGGTCGCAGCGCCGAGGTTCCCGCGCCGAGGTCGCAGCGCCGAGGTTCCCGCGCCGAGGTCGCAGCGCCGAGGTTCCCGCGCCGAGGGTCGCAGCGCCGAGGTCGCAGCGCCGAGGTTCCCGCGCCGAGGTCGCAGCGCCGAGGTTCCCGCGCCGAGGTCGCAGCGCCGAGGCTCCCACGCAGAAGTTCCCGCGATGAGGTTCCCGCGCTGAGGTCGCGGCGCTGAGGTTCCCGCGCTGAGGTCGCGGCGCTGAGGTTCCCGCGCTGAGGTCGCGGCGCTGAGGTTCCCGCGCTGAGGTCGAGGCGCTGAGGTTCCCGCGCTGAGGTCGCGGCGCTGAGGTTCCCGCGCTGAGGTCGCGGCGCTGAGGTTCCCGCGCTGAGGTCGCGGCGCTGAGGTTCCCGCGCTGAGGTCGCGGCGCTGAGGTTCCCGCGCTGAGGTCGCGGCGCTGAGGTTCCCGCGCTGAGGTCGCGGCGCTGAGGTTCCCGCGCTGAGGTCGCGGCGCTGAGGTTCCCGCGCTGAGGTCGCGGCGCTGAGGTTCCCGCGCTGAGGTTCCCGCGACGAGGTCGCAGCGCCGAGGTTCCCGCGACGAGGTCGCAGCGCCGAGGTTCCCGCGACGAGGTCGCAGCGCCGAGGTTCCCGCGACGAGGTCGCAGCGCCGAGGTTCCCGCGACGAGGTCGCAGCGCCGAGGTTCCCGCGACGAGGTCGCAGCGCCGAGGTTCCCGCGACGAGGTCGCAGCGCCGAGGTTCCCGCGACGAGGTCGCAGCGCCGAGGTTCCCGCGCCGAGGTCGCAGCGCCGAGGTTCCCGCGCCGAGGTTGCAGCGCCGAGGTCGCAGCGCCGAGGTTCCCACGCAGAAGTTCCAGTGCTGAGGTCACAGTGCTGAGGTCGCAGTGCTGAGGTTCGCACGCAGAAGTTCCAGTGCTGAGGTCACAGTGCTGAGGTCACAGTGCTGAGGTTCCCACGCAGAAGTTCCAGCGCTGAGGTCGCAGCGCTGAGGTTCGCACGCTGAGGTCACAGTGCTGAGGTCACAGTGCTGAGGTCACAGTGCTGAGGTCACAGTGCTGAGGTCACAGTGCTGAGGTCACATCGCTGAGGTTCCCGCGTTCAGGTCACATCGCTTAGGTGACATCGCTGAGGTTCCCGTGCTGAGATCACATGGCTGAGGTTCCTGCGCTGAGGTCACATCGCTGAGGTTCCAGCGTTGAGATCACAGCGCTTATGTGACATCGCTGTGTTTCCCGCGCTGAGGTTCACTTGCTGAGGTCACAACGCTGAGGTCACAGCGCTGTGGTTCCCGCGCTGTGGTCACAGCGCTGAGGTTCCCACGATGAGGTTCTGGCGCTGAGTTTCCCGCGCTGAGGTCACAACGCTGAGTTTCCCGCGCTGAGGGAACAACGCTGAGGTTCCCGTGCTGAGTTCACATTGTTTAGGTTCCCGCGCTGAGGTCAGAGAGCTGAGGTTCCCGCGCAGGGGTTCCCACGCTGTGGTCACGTCGCTGATGTTCCCGCGCTGAGGTCACATCGCTGAGCTTCCCGCTGTGAGGTCACACTGTTGAGGTTCTTACGCTGAGGTTCCCACGCTGATGTGACACTGCTGAGGTTCCCACGCTGAGGTTCCCGCGCTGAGGTCACATTGTTTAGGATCCCGCGCTGACGTCACATTGCTGAGGTTCCTGCGCTGAGGTCACACGGCTGAGGTTCCCACGCTGAGTTTCCCACGCTGATGTCACATTGTTTAGGTTCCCACGCTTTGGTCACATCGCTGAGATTCCCGCACTGAGGTCACATCGCTGAGGTTCCTGCGCTGAGGTTCCCGCGCTTTGGTCACATCGCTGAGGTTCCCGCACTGAGTTCACAGCGCTGAGGTTCCCGCGCTGAGGTTCCCACGCTTTGGTCACATCGCTGAGGTTCCCGCGCTGCGGTCACATCGCTGAGGTCACATCGCTGAGGTTCCCGCTGTAAGGTCACACTGCTGAGGTTCCCGCGCTGAGGTTACATTGTTTAGGTTCCCGCGCTGAGGTCACGGAGCTGAGGTTCCCGCGCTGAGGTTCCTGCGCTGAGGTCACATCACTGATGTTCCCGCGCTTCGGTCAGATTGCTGAGGTTCCCACGGTGAAGTCACATCGCTGAGGTTCCCGCTCTGCGGTTCCTGCGCTGAGGTCACATCACTGAGTTTCCCGCGCTGAGGTCACATCGTTGAGGTCACATTGCTGAGGTTCCCGCTGTGAGGTCACACTGTTGAGGTTCCTACGCTGAGGTTCCCGCGATGAGGTCGCATCGCTGAGATTCATGCGCTGAGGTTCCCGCGCTGATATCACATCGCTGATGTTCCCGCGCTGAGGTTCCCGCGCTGAGGTCACAACGCTGAGGTTCCCGCGCTGAGGTCACAACGCTGAGGTTCCCGCACTGAGGTCACATAGCTTCGGTGACATCGCTGAGTTTCCCGCGCTGAGCTCGCATCACTGAGGTTCCCACGCTTTGGTCACGTCGCTGAGGTTCCCGCTGTGAGAACACACTTTTGAGGTTCCTACGCTGAGGTTCCCGCGCTGACGTGACACTACTGAGGTTCCCGCGCTGAGGTCACACGCTGATGTCACATTGTTTAGGTTCCCGCGCTGAGGTCACAGAGCTGAGGTTCCCGCGCTGAGGTCACATTGCTTAGGTGACATCGCTGAGGTTCCCACGCTGAGGTCACATCGCTGAGGTTCCCGTGCTGAGGTGCCCACGCTGCGGTCACATCACTGAGGTTCCTGCTGTGAGGTCACACTGCTGAGTTCCCACGCTGAGATTCCCGCGCTGAGGTCAGAACGCTGAGGTTCCCGCGCTGAGGTCACAGCGCTGAGGTTCTCGCGCTGCGGTCACATCACTGAGGTCACATCGCTGAGGTTCACGCGCTGAGGTCACATCGCTGAAGTTCCCGTGCTGAGGTGCCCACGCTGAGGTCACATCGATTAGGTGACATCGCTGAGCTTCCCGCGCTGAGGTTCCCGCGCTGAGGTCACATCGCTGAGGTTCCCGCTCTGATGTTCCCGCGCTGAGGTCACATAGCTGAGGTCGCAGAGCTTAGGTTCCCGCGTTGAGGTTCCCGTGCTGAGGTCACATCGCTGAGGTTCCCACGCTTTGGTCACGTCGCTGAGGTTCCTGCGCTGAGGTCACATCGTTGAGGTCACATTGCTGAGGTTCCCGCTGTGAGGTCACACTGTTGAGGTTCCTACGCTGAGGTTCCCGCGCTGAGGTCACATCGCTGAGATTCCTGCGCTGAGGTTCCCGTGCTGATATCACAACGCTGAGGTTCCCGCGCTGAGCTAACAGCGCTGAGGTTCCCCGGCCGAGGTTTCCGCGCTTAGGTGACATCCTGAGGTTCCGGCACTGAGGTCACATCACTGAGGTTCCCACTGTGAGGTCACACTGTTGAGGTTCCTACACTGAGGTTCCCACGCTGACGTGACACTGCTGAGGTTCCCGCGCTGAGGTTCCCACGCTGAGGTCACATCGCTGAGGTTCCCGCGCTGAGGTGCCCGCGCTGGGGTCCCATCGCTTAGGTGACATCGCTGAGGTTCCCGCACTGAGGTCACATCGCTGAGATTCCTGCACTGAGGTTCCCGCACTGAGGTCACATCGCTGAGATTCCTGCACTGAGGTTCCCGTGCTAATATCACATCGCTGATGTTCCCATGCTGA